GACCACTTCTCCTGAGCCGCTTTTCGCAACGTGCACCTCAATGACATGCCATCGATGCCACTGGCATATAAATCAAAACTGCTTCCCATGGTCTTCTGTTGAGGCGGTTGGTCATCTTGACGATCCTCCAAGGCCATAGGTTGTTCTCGACGCTTTGAGGTGTCCTCCACCAAATTGCCACAAAGAACGATACGGGCTTTCTTGCGAGCATCAGGGGCCTTCACCGTTGGGACAACCTTCGATGGGACCACCAGCATCTCTTCATAGCCCGGTTCATTCACCAAATCCTTCACCTTCACAGGCCGAACAGCTGTCGTTGACGTTTCCAGCGATGTTACCTCGTTCTTGAGAGGCGGAATCCATAGTGGAAGATCTTTTCGAACCTGTGCTAGGGGCACCGTGTAGGTTTGCAGGACCGAGTGGACTGCCCGCTGCTCCGGCGATTGCGAGACTTCCACAGCCATTGCCGCGAACTGGATCTTCTCATCATCGCCTCGCATGTCAGTCAACTTGTTCTCCATCTCCAAGACCATCTTCTCCACATAGTCGAGGATGTAGCCCTGCATTGTCCCCTCATCTTCACCTACCACCACATCCTTTGCAAGGTCCGACCATAGACGCTTCCAGCTCCAGTGTTCTTCTTCTCCACGTTCACGGAGCTTCAGTGCCTCGTTCATCTCACACTCCACACGCCCCAGCATCACTTCATTGTCTGGAGTTTCGAATGGTGTTTCGCAGAAACGACACTGTTTCACCTCCTTCAACTTGCCAATCACATACTCCCGCTGGTCACCATACTTCACCGGGAGCACCCGAAGACCGCATTCGCCACACACCCATGGTTCACGGTGTGCACCATCATCTCCTTTTCGAATTTCACCACCATCACTGCTTTTCAGGAGGAGAGACTCCCCCCCAGACCAAACAAAGTGACGGGCTGGACCAATTTCTTTGTGCTCTCCCCCCAAACCATCATGTTCAGCTTGAAGAGCTTGAAGGTGTAGATCATCACTCAATCTTGGTGCCGGAATCTGCGGCAAGCACGGATCAGGCGGCTGTTTCCCCATCACCCGGTGCGAAGGGCGCGACGGATCGGAAGCTTCCTGAAGTTCCAGAACAGCTCGATCAGCCATCGGGTCAGTGAGGACAACCACACGTGCATGTTGAACTTGTTGACCTTCCCTCAACACATAGCCCTCCGTCATGAAAGGTGATGGTCCGAGGATGGTCATCGTGCGAAAGGGCGGAATCAAAGGCCCAAAACCAGCTCTGTGCCACCTTTTGGTTTTCACAGTGACACGGGCTCCAATTGGCATCAGCGGCGTGCAAGGGACTCCAAGCTTGGCGCATTGATGCCGCAGTCTTTCCTCGCCAACATAGCGAGCGATGCCAGGCCACAGCTCTTCACCAAGGCCACTTTCTCTGACCAACATCCGAAGCCGTCTTTTGACCTGCTGCACCTCTGTCTCAATTCTCCCATTTGAGGGGCCTTCATCGCCCCCCCGTCATAGTTTGGTAAAGGCCAAATCGCCGGCAGAAGGACTGGAACACCTTGGAGAAGAAAGCGCACTCCCTGTCGGTGTGGACACGGATGATCTTTAGGCCCATCGCTTTGAAGCGGCAGTACATCCTTGTGGCCACCTTTGTGACATCGTGTTGACCTCTCGACTCCAGGGGCTCCACCAGTGTGATATTTTGAACTCCCACAGGCGCAGCCAGATCATCAATGTGCTTTCTCCAGCCTTCATTGAGAGCGACCGCATCCTCCTCCGCAACCCGGACCTCATCTTCGACCTCATCAAGCTGAGGCAGAACCTGTTCGCCAACTTCTTGATTGGCGGGATCTCCATCGCCTCCTTGATCGGCAAGACCTTGTTCACCATCTTCTCGATCGTCAGGGCGGTCTTCATCATCTTCTTGCGGATGATCTCCATCTCCCCCCAAACCACGAGGCAGCTTTGGAATGGCCACCGTTGCCACCATGATGTACTTCGCCTTTGTGCTCAAGCCCACATCATCTCCCAGTGGCATTGGTCCCAAAATGTCATAGGACAGGCAGTAAGCTGATCGATCTCCTGATGTCCTCCGGTGCGGTGCATCCACGCCCATCAGCTCCATGCATCGCCGACAATCCCTCCTGTAGGGTTGGTGTTGATTTCGAACATGGGTTTTCCAACTTTCCATGCTCATTCGCTTCACTCCAGGTTCGCCGTGGTGCACAATCTCCTCCGCATTCCACCTGCGCCTGTAGTCCAGGAGGAAGTTCTTCAAGCACTCCTTCACCGCTGCCACCAAGCCCGGTGCCCAGGACGACCACTCCCTCGATTGAGCCAGTCTCCCAGTGAGCGATGTTGCTTCAACTTCTCCTCTACCTTCTCCAGACACGCCATCTAACTCCTTCATCTGTGGGAGGTTGGCGACCATCAAGCATGTTGGTTTTCTCTTGACGTGGCCCATAGGCCCTTGATCCATGGTCAGCAAGGAGGCGCCCATCAGCTCTCTGGCCTTCTTCACTTCCTCAAAGTTCCAGAAACTCGGCATGTCCTCCTTGGTGGCCTCAGTTGACATGTAATCCATGGGGTCTCTTGGTGACTCCATCAGGAATCCAGGTGCTGGTCGTCCTCCACGATGCTCATCAGCGAGGAGCCACAGACCAATCTGCTTCATCATCAACGCACAATCGCTGAGGGCAAGCTCCTGCTCTGGCGAAGAAAGTCCCTCCAGCATGAATCTGCGGTCATCTCGACCTCTCAAGGGGCGTGGACCCGGAGCTCGGTGCCTCAACCGTGACACCGTGCGGCACGGCGGCCCTCCCAACACAGCAACGACCAAGCCTCGTCGAGCTAGATGACATAGGTAACCCCAAGTTCCAATGCCATGGAGGTCGAACTGTGCGCCCATCGTCACGTCCACATTCACAATCTCGAAGCCACCCCAGTCCGTCTTAGACCAACTCTTATAGTCCTTCCCGGCAAAGAGGTTGACAATCACACCACGAGACGCCAGGTGTCGTCGCCGCTGACGTCGGTTCCAGGGGCAAGTGCAAGCATCAAAGCTGTCCTGGCCCTTCATGAACTCCCACACCTCCGCAGGGACCTCAGGGAATCTTGATGACCACCATGATCGTACTTCATCATCAGTGAAGATCTCCCCCCGATCTGCCTTCTCCATAGTGCTGAGCAACTCCAGCGCCTTGGCCTCAGGTAGAACCGGACATCCCCCACGAAGCGCGCAGTCAATCCTGCCATGAACAGGGTGGTTTATTTTCACTCCAGCCGCCGTCCACTGAAGCCGATACCCCAGACCCACCAGTCGATGGAGTGGGACAATGACCTCCACGTGGTTCTTGGATAGCAAGGTCTTGTGGTCATCCACCCTGAACAACGTCGCCGACCCTGAGGCCAACTCCACCCTCACCGGGTACATCCTTTCCAGCTCCTGCTCATGTGCTCGACGAAGACCATTGGTCGCCCCTCCATCCAGCAGTCCAACAGGTGCCAAACCATCAGTGCCAACCGGCTTCAATTCCTTGACACGAAGCACCTTCATGCTCCGAAGTGTTTTGAGCAAAGATGTCGCCTCCGACAGCAACTCTGCCGTAGTTTCCCGACCCAGTGGCTTCTCAGGTGTTCCTGCCATTCTCGAAGTGGTCGTGGTAGGAGGCGGCGATGACCCCGGAGACGGCTCTTCACCTGTGGGCTGCTCCTTGGCGATCTTCTCGACGATCTCCCCCTTCTCTCCTTCCTTCGTGGCCTTCACCTTTGAGACCCTCTTTGGATCAGTCTTTCCAGTCTTGTGTTGGTGAGGACATTCACGCTTCATGTGGTTCCCACCGCAACCAAAGCACCGGTTCTTCATATCCGAGGTGTCGTGGGCATAGGTGCAAGATGTTCCCCTCCTGCAGCCTTCCTCCGACTTCCAGAACCTGCAAGCAAGCTTTCCTCCTGCTCGCTCTTCATTCTCAGCCGCTCCAAACGACGATGCCATAGCCTTCAGTGACGTCGAGGCTGCTTGATTGGACGAGGCCGCCGGCTGAGCCAGTGGTGCACCACCCTTCTGAGCTGCAGTGAGGGACATTTCTTCGATCTCCGCCTGCACATACTCAGCTAGCTCAGTGACTCCTTCCAATGAAGCTGCATAGTCAACTCGGAGTTCTTGAGGAACATTTGAAATCCTGAATGACACCTGAGTGCCGCCTGCTTTCTGGGTGCTGTCGATCATGCGCTGCAGGGCGTGCATGAGGACCAGAGGGTCCGGAAGGTTGAGGTGAAGTTCTTGAGCACGAGATAGCCAACGTCGCCACAACCGGACCTGCATCAACAATTCTCCCACCGATGTGGAGAACTTCGACTCCACTAAATTCTTGAGGAGTTGCGTTTTTTCAGCGCCGCCCCCTGGCTGGTACGCCACATGGAGCCGGTACAAGATGTGCACCACGGACAGCTGCCTACCAGACACCAAGTCCCGACGAAGCTGATCAGGTAGTGCTCCAAGTAGCATGGCAATTCCACGCTGTTCAATCCGTTGAAATGCTGGATCCACTTCGACTTGAGGTTTCGATCTCAGCCTCTCCAGCGGACTCAATCGCAGCCACCGGGAGTAGTGCTCCTGCGCCACCATCAAGGACTCTTCCCACCAGGCCTTCGCCGAGTTGGAGATGTCAGCCATCAGCGGGAATGCCATAGTCAGCCAGTCGCCGAAGAGAATCGAAGCTCCTTCTCCATTGGGTGCTGGAAGTGAGGGAAGCTCCAAATTTCGCAGAGCCTCGGTCGTCGATGCCACGGGAATTCCAGCCCCAATCCTGGTCACCTTTCCTGCTCCACCACCAAGCCCTGAAGACAATGTCCCGGATGTGGTCTCATGTAATCCAGGGGGTCGATCAGGTAGTGACTCACCAACACCATCACCAGAGTTTCCACCTTGACCATCAGTGGAACCACGAGGTTTCGCCCGCTCGCCCACACTATTCGCCGATTCAAACGTCGACGAACCTCCACCACCTGTCAGCTTCTTGACCTCCTTCTCAAAGTTCAAGTGGGCTTCACAAAGGATGCGCTCCCGAATGGCTTCCAGCTCCTGAGACGTCGGGCTTCTCTTCACCTCTTCACTAGGGGGGTCGAGGACGTTCAGAACGGGATGCCACATCAGGTGCACGTCCACGGTCACTCCAAAAAGGATTGGTCTGCTGCCGCCCATGTTGATGGGGTGTGGACATGTCGTAGGGCTCAAGTACTCTAGGTTGTGGACCACCTTCACCATTCATGCTGCTCCTGTCCACTCTCGGCGGAATTGGAAACTGAGGCGATGACGCTGCCTCCCGCTGCCAAGCCCCTTGCCCTCCAGGTTGTCCCGGATCATCAGCGCGAGGGTGTCCTGGATCGCGGCCATGAAATAGAGGTCCAAGAAGTCCTTCAGGAGGCGGAGGTCCCACCGGCATCGGTCCTTGGGGATTTGGTCCAAAGGCCCTTTGCAACACCTCAAGGGATTGCCTCACCGTCTCCTGCCAGCCAGCTCCTCGCTCTTGCCTTTCCACGAGAGGAGGCTGCCGACCACCATCAGCCCTGCCAGCTGCCGCTGAGGTTCTCCGGCCATCAGCCGCCGCAGGTACACCACCCACCCTCTTCACTGCAGGAGGCATGGATGTCGCTCGCGCCTCTTCGAGGAGGGCATCGAGCCTCTCATCTGCTGCACCCACTCTCAACTGCCCTTCGCGATCTCCCGGATCCCGCAGCCTGCCTCCATCTCGTGAGGCACGACGCCGGCGCGAGGCAAATCCGCTCATGGGGACCAGCGACCTCAACAATGAGGGTGGACTTCACACGCTCCTTGGGCTCATAACCTGTGGTTATGGAAAAAGCCTCAAGAGCGACCGACAAAAAACAGCCGCTCACGTTGTTCCTTGAGCCAAACGCAGGTCGTTTTGACCGGTGGTTCACCTTTTCAGGTGTTCATGACCTTCACGAAAAAAGGTATGCTTTGGGTCGTGTGCCTTTCCACTCACAGAAGCAATTGCACTTGGAGCCCCACCCGGATGTTCGTTTCCAGTTTCTCAATGGCTTGGAACAGTCGGAAAGGCTTTGCGAAGGTTCAGGCAGAAGCTTTGAAGCCTTGAGACGATTCAGAGAAAGCGTGCGCCTTGTAGTGCCCGTTGCCTAATGGTGGCCATGGATGGCCATGGCCCATGCTAATGAAAATGCTGGTAGAAGGTTCTTCTTTGATCTGTCCACGACATGAGCGCAACATTGCCAAACCGACGCAGCTCACCGTGAAGAACGCTTGGCGCATTTGTTCTTCTCTTTGTGGAAGAGGTAGGTATGGAGTGAGAAGAGGCGAATGTTGCTGGGGTTGGAGGGTGCTTGGTGGGCATCTGCGGAGTACGGTGGCTGGAGGCGCTGTGATGTAAGTGAGGGCAGATAGTTCGGCTGCAAGAGCAATGGCACGAAATTGGTACTAGATGCATGGCTATGGACCCAAGAAAAGACAGAGAAGAGTGAGAAAGCCTCTCGGACAGAGAAGAGCCTTTCAGTGGCACCAAACTCTAGCGAGGATGTGGAACAAAGAACCTTGCCAGGAGACTCCGCTGAAGATGGTGAACTCGATTGGTGTCTACAAGAATCACAGCGTTCTGATTTTGCTGTCTACCCCGAACAAAGCAGCAGGGCTGTTCCAACTTAATCCCCAAGGATTACAACCTTTCCTGTTTGGAGTTTGCTGGGATACCGGATCCAAACCGCAAAGAAGAGGTCTTGGACCTCAACCCTGCTCCAAACCCTGCTTGGGTGGATCGCACGACATCTGCGGGTCAATGCCGTGACGTCGCTACGTCGGGACCCGACGTGTGCTGTCGCCGTGACCGGTGTGCTGTCGCCGGTCTTGGAAGGACAAACATCCAACGCCTTTGGACAATTTAAGTTTAATTCTAATAGCGAACTTTGTTACTACTAGTAAGGCACTTGTTACTACTAGCGTGGCACTTGTTACTAGGAAATCTAACAGACTCTAACCCCTAAATTTCCTGAAAGAAAATGTAGACAGGTGACCTTCATACATCCGACAAGACATGACAAGACCCTGTCGAATATTAGTTCACACCATGCGAATCAACAGACCTTGTCGAACACTGTTTGTTTTAAGCACTGGTGGCCATCAATTTTTGTTTTGCCCATGCACTTGGTTTTGTCAGGCCATTGTTGGAACGGATGTTGACGCACATGAGACATGACCAGACGGATACATACCGAAACTAGACGTTTGCTTCCCAAAGCCTACTGTGCAGGTGCTGATGGCCATGAAATTGGATTGTTGCACGAGCTCAGTGAGAAGCCGAAGGCCAACGAGTTCGGAGGCAAAACATACATCGTTTTTTTTGTAGAAATGGGCACAGGAAGTTCCGTAGGTGCAAAAACTCGATGGAACTGTTGATTCGTTTGAAGCACCTTTTCAACACACGAGAGTTGAGAGATAGGCGTCCAGTGGGGCGACTTCGAAATTGTGAGGACTCTTCGATGTTTAACAAAGCACAAAACATATGGGACACGAAACATAAAATAGGCATAGTCTCAGTAACAAGGTTCGCTACTAGGAACAAGTGCATCGCTACTAGACACATGTCTTCTGCACAGTCTGAGTTCGTCGCACCCAGTAACATGTCCTCTCCACGGCCGCCAGCCTTCACGTCCCCGCTGGCCCTGCTTCCCCCCTCTTCTCCAAAGAATTTTGTGCTTGGCCCTTCGCCCCCGCACTAGCATTCCACCAGACTGGTGCAAATCCTATCGGTAAAATACCAGGACTACCTATATATGTACCAAAATTGTTACTTTAGTCTGCGTAAATTGTTCCTTCCTTTAGACCTTCGGACCTGTTGTCCCATGAACCATGCCATATTTTCAAGGTTTTGACTTGCCGATTTGCAGGTCCTCAGTTTCTTGGTGGATTTCGCGCAGAACCGGAGGAGTCACCGGAGGCCTCAGAACCGGACACAATGGTTCACAATTCGGCCAATGACATGTTTCCGCCCAATGATTTTCATCGAACGAAAGCCGCCCAAAAAGATATTGGAAGAACGTAGAAGTAGTGGAAGTAGACTGGTGGTTTGTTTGTTCAAATCGCCAAGGCAAGTTGGCAGTGTGCTTTGCATCCTGCTCAAGGACAGTGCGTGGCAAGAAGCCGCGAAGGCGAGCTCAGACCGGTCCTGGTTTTCCAATTCAGGTAGTAACAAGAAGCTACTAGGGGCTCTTGGCCTTACTACTAGTAACAAGAAGCTACTGTTTGTGAGCATGAAATCACTTGCAGGTTGTTTGGTTGCTTGCACAGAGCCAGGAATTTAGCAGCATGGCGCATCAACTGCCAGAAGACATGTCGTTTGTACAAGCTGCGCTTCTGGGAAAGTCTCTCGAGGTGCAGAAAAATGCAGTTTTACGCGTTCAACTAGTAGCAAGAAGCTAGTAGGTTGGGTTCCATCCATCACTATTAGGGGGAGGCCATCGCTTCTAGGGTGGAGGCTATTGCTACTAGGGTGGAGGCCATTTGCCACTAGTAGCAAGAAGCTAGTAGGTTGGAGGTTGCTAGGTTGGAGGCCATCACTATTACGGGGAGACCATTGCTACTAGGGTGGAGGTCATTTGCTACTAGTAGGCCATCGCTACTGGGGTGGAGGCCTGCTACTTGTAGCAAGAAGCTAGTAAGTTGGAGGCCATCCCTATTAGCGGGAGGCCATCGCTACTAGGCTGGAGGCCATTGCCACTAGTAGCAAG